GACAGTTCTCCCCCAATATCTTCAGAAGCAAAGAGCCCTTGCAAAAAATTCAGGAGTAAAGACTGGTCGGATTATTACAGAACCATTACCTTTTAGACAAATAATATGCTTTATTAAATTATCACTAGCTGTCCGGTCAAATTTTGGTGAAAGCCCAATGGTTTAAACTGCTGACCATTGTTTAGACCGGCTTTAGCTGTCAGAAATGGTGGTGCTGTTGGCGCACTCATTCACGACGTCACTTCCATGTATCTGACCTGGATATCATCATTTCAGATACAGGTGACTGTTCATATGAGGATATCATATCCAGCCAGGATGAGTTCATGAAAACTAGGCGGACGTTCAGTGTGGAGACCTGCAGCACTTAGCACAGTTAAAAAGGTTAGGATTTTTATACATGTTAAAATCCTGGTATCCTGAAGTTTATTAATAATCCCACTAACAAATCAAAAATATCGTTTGCTTCCTGCTAGAATATGTGAAAATTATTCTTGTCGACACCTCAAATAAGCTTGCATTCCTTATTTTGAAATCGGAAAGGAAATCCACAGCACTTGACACAAAGTACAGTATCGGAAGTTCCAACACTAATATCATGTTACTGTCTTTATTAAACTCAGATACCTGGCACATCAACTAAACAAATTGTGGCGGAGAAACACCTAGCAGCCTTTCGCCCATCAAGTGAACAGGAGGAGGAGACGAAAATGGGTTGGACACACGCTGAGGAGACAATGAAGTGAGATTACACTCCTGGGCTACAAGTGGAGCCAAAAAAGAAGGCGACGAGTCAGATGTCCGATGGTCATGCGTAGAAGATAATGTGAATATGAAATGAAAGGATGTAATCGGTCAGTGAGCCAGACAAAATCGACAGAAGAGAAGCTAGCGCCGTGGAGGTTTGCCACTAAATATGTATGCTAAATTTAGGACTCAAGGGACAAATGATGTAATGATAGTAAAATTACCCTCATCAAAAAAGTTGCGCTGACGAATCACTAAAATTTGCAGGAACTCTCCAGGGGTGTACATCTTACTATCATAAGCCCACTCAGATTTTGTGTCAGACAGGACAACCAATTTCTAACTTTAATTCACTAAGGCATTTGTTAAACAACTATATTTGCAAGGATTACCATGACCAGCAATGAACATCATAATTCAACAAAAATATCGGCAACAGTAAAGAATAGACATCAAAGTTAAATGGCCTTGATTTGATTAATCAAATTCTTCTAGGTGAATATTGGTACTTGGTTTATAAAAATGTGTACCTATGATATATATGTGATAAAAATGAATCATACAGGGAATATATCTCTAATATGCTGCAAAAGGTAGTTACAGACATATCAAACGAATGTATTCTCCGTTTCTGCAGCTAAAGCAGATACTGGTCGCATATACGCAACATATTGCTAAGGGAGAGCTTTCATCCTGAGAAGAAAGTGTCTAGAAAAATCATCAATTATGTATGACTTACCAACTTACACAAACTATCTCATATAAAGTAGTTGCATCTGAATGTATAACCATCAATAGCCCGGCAATAAAAATAAAATACATTTGTTTTCCTACCTGTGTAGGACACACCAATTGTACCGGCATGGATAAGTATTATTTAAATTACATAAATTTGGTTCATCGTTAAATAATGTGGTTGCAGTCATTTTTCTTATGGGAGTAATATGATAACTAGTCATTCAATGGAGCACATCAAGAAATATAGAAATATTGTCTTCGCATTAACAAAAAAACCCAAGTATGTTTTGGATGGATTACAAATACTTAGGAAAAAAATAAAGCTTGAAGTAATTCCATCATATAACTTGGAGGTGTACGGCATCGAGTCTTATTCTTGATTTATATCCAATATATCCAATACCTTTGCAGAGTCATTATCCCTCCACATATGCATGTCTTATTCCTCCCTGTAAACTCATTTGCCATAGACAATTCAAAAACCATATCTAGGAGACACTTGCAACGAGGACTGTGACTAGCATTCATTTACAATGCTGAGCTATCTGATTGGTCGAATCAAGGTCATTTGGCTTTGGTGTCTATTGTTTACTCTTGCCACAATATCATTAGTAGATGTAGCCAGAAGAGCTATAGAGACTGATAAAACCTTGTCATTTTGACTTTCTTGTCGCGCCACACACACTCTCATACGTTACATTCATACCATCTCGCAATTAATAGAGTTACTTATGAATATTCGAATGGCTTTCATATAACTAGTCAAGATAAGGAATCTCATTATAACTTACTACAGCAGATATTTGCCAATCGGATCACTCGATTGCAGTCAGTGTCATCAAGTTACAGAGTGGCGTTCGCTCACTGACTTTCCTTGAGCACAACTGATAAAAAGGGCATATGTCATTTATCTGAAAGGACGCAGACTACTAAAGTCTTCCCTTAAATGTTGGCGCACAATTACAGGTGTTATAGACTATTCCACAACGGGCGCATACCTGAACTGCACCTATAAGTCATTTTGAAGGAAAGCGCGAAACTCGAAACTTCAGCTCAGAAGCACCGTAAACATTTTGAAAAATGAAGCTAGCTATGGAAGACTTCAATGAATTATGACATCTGGACACAAAGCCTCCCATCCACATTTCTCTTAATTCATCTAACGTGGTTATCAGAGCTTTAATGCAATGACTTGCATTCGACACTTGGAAACAACAAATTCTTTTCCAGAAAGCCATTTGAATGTAAAATGAGACAGCACATTTGGTTGTGAACCAGTTGCCATATACAATTACATGCATCACCCCTGTCAGCTCGTCGAGTGTTTCCAGTTGTCTTTACGGACGAGGTTCATTGATACATGTCCTTGCTACCACCACGGGTGTGTTTCATGCGTGAATTACGTCACTTGGACCACACTTTCCGATTCACCTCCGATAGTGGAACTTCGCATGCAACACAGACACACTTATTCCCAAATTTCCTAGAAAAAAGAACGAAAAGTTAGTGTCAACAGCTGAGGTACCATGTTGTGAAACGTGTTCACACGTACATCAGGACGGCAGCAGACATGTAGGAAGGGATTACGAAAGACATCTCAAACACACTAAAATATTTTGAAAGAAGCTCACAAGAACTAATTTTGACTCATACTCTTGTGAGTAGATTCGCTTCGGAGAAAACTGAGTCTCCACATGGCTGAGACATGTAGGTGGGTGGTGTGTCCAGAAAGTGGGCAGCTGAAGTGCAGCTTCCACCTCAGAAGGAGAATTGTTGTCAACCATGATCGTGTGATAAGTCATGGTGGGAAAATAGAATGAAATATTAGAATTGAAAAGTGAGTCATAGGTGAACGCAAACACAGGAATGGAAATGACCTGTCGTGCAGGATTGAAGAAAATAATAGAGCCATTGAGTAGGTGGGAATATGAATAAACCAAGTTCTAGATATGTCATGTAGGTGACACTCGAACTCACCAGTTGTAAGGGACTGGTTATGCTGATGATATGTTGTGCTGCGCCAGCCTCACGAAACAGTGTGTCCTAGTATCCACTTAATCACTAAGTAGCCCAAAGTGTAAGTTCTAATAGCAAAACACGAGTCGATAGGGCTCAGTCATTTAGAATTATGGCCTGATACAGTGTATGTTTAAATATAATAGTTGTTAAGATCATTTGAAAGGAATTGTGGACCTATCTAGTTGATTTGACTGTACTTGGAATCCTGAGGTGCACTAAAATTAGTTGTGTTGGAATGTATGACCTTAAAGGCCTCCATCCTTAAATCAATTATTGTAAAGTTATGGGTTTTGTAGTCATATAGACAACCAGAGGTTGTTTACTTCTCATGAATGCAAAGTAGCACGGAACATACACTTTCCGATGAGCTTTCCTTTGAAACATTGTAGTGACTGACACAAATGAGACTGAGTTCGTAGGTGGCATTCATTGATTTTCATTATTAGGAAAGTGAGACAACTTGGTTACTACATCTGCATCTGCAATTTCAATGCATCTACCCAACTGAGGCGGAATGTTTAGTTACTTTGCGGCTGTTATTCGCCCGTAATTTTCAAGTCCATTCAAAAAGTATATTCTATTATGTTGGTTTCATTAGTACAAGAGAAAGGGGAAGTAACATTCTTTTCTTGATGGGAATAAGATGAGTGAATCAAGCAGGTTACCTGAAAATCTTTGGGGAAGATGAAGTACTCACTGAGCTATTGAGAAATGACAATATACTGATTCTGTATCTTGTAACCCCTAATGTACTTATATGGGGCTGAATGACAACGGAAACAAATTACCTGAAATCTTAGACGTATTTCAATTACGTTCTTGGCTAATGGAACTGAATTTGTATATAAACGAACGTAGAATGACCGTATTTTAATTAGCATCAATTAATATCAGTGCATTTTCAGCCTTACAAAGTGACATTTATTACGTACTCATTGTGTTGTTTCGCCGTGGTAATGATTTAGACTTGTCCATACAAGAAAGGTAGAGATTCCTCTATACGCACTGTTTTTAAGCATTCCAAGGAATACGTGATTTTCAATGACTAAGCAGTAAATCCTGCAAGATATTGGCAAGGCCTTAGGAGATAAATTAATTATGAACTATTATGATGTGTTGGCTGATAGAAGAGCACCATTTGTCCTGCAATTTCACTTCCAACTAGTCAAAATAGCCTGGTGTATTAGAGGTGTTAATATTTTTTGATTGATAAAGCATCTTGCAAAGGCTCACCACAAAATCATTCAATGTTTTTATATAAGTATCCACGAATAGGTGTGGTTTGAGAAACTCCTGACAGGTGGACTGCACAGGCAAATGAGATGCTTTGTGAATGGAAAGAGGCCACCGGAGAGTTTTTACCAGTAAACACCAGTGCACGTTCGCAAATCACTGAGAATCCTTCAATCGATGTTATCTGAGGTTCGAAAACTAGCATTGAAGACAGTTTGATACTAGAGGTTGATTTAAGTGAAGAGACCAAACTCTCTAAATATGGGAACTCCATCATAAGCGGAGAAATGCACTCCAGCCAGTAGTCGCTCACTCTTTATTCAATTCGTTTCATGGGCGGCGGCAAAGTTATCAATCACGGTACGCCTGAAGCTTGTTTAAGGTTTGTGGTGTTTTCGTTTCATCTAAGGTTTTCACTCGTGTATTAGCCTACTTTTTTGGGAGGATTTAAATCGTAGGATACTAAACTGTAAGATTTCGCAGAACTTTTCAAATTCACACACTGCTGGTTAACAGATCTATTCATCTTTAGCAAAAATATTGAGGAAGTATCCGGGCATTTGAAGTAAATTTGAACCTTTCGGGGACAGCATATCCTGAAATGGTTGGAAAAACAAATGAATTATGGAAAACTAATAGAAGCAGGTGTCAGACTACAAACTTCGTCTCTAGCTAAACATCTAATCGAAATGAATTATAAAATGATGTTAACCCACCCTTTAAGGTCATCTATAAAAATGGTCAAGGGCGCTTATTGAAATACACTGAGGCTATAGCTATTCATAGACTTAAGGCCCCTCTGTGGATTCAAAAACAGTTTATTATTACTCTTAACCTACCTTGATAATCCTTATTTGATTGGATTACTAAACGTTGTGTTAATCATTCTTAAATCCTCTTTTTCCTCACTTTGTTTAATTTAATTGCCCATAATTTTTTAATATATATAGACTGGACAAGTAAATGTGTGATCAGATTGTTCGAAATGTGTAGCGCAAATACATCACATTTTTCAGATTGTCTCCGTCTTCTAGTAACTCTAGCTGAAGTATCATAACCAAAGCCAAGGTCTCTCGAAAGTTGCCGTTCAAGGACCAATCAAACACAGGGAATACTACGAAAGTCATTCCAAATAACATCATGCCTCCCTTTTTGGACTTCGGAAAGGTTGATACATTATTCCATTTATTCCTTAGTTACTTCTTCTGTAAATCTGTACTATTCGGCAGGGTTATGGCCTTTTGAATCAAGGTGAAGGTTAGGATTACAGTTTAAATTAGGACTAGGATTATGGTTAGCGTTAGGAGTAGGTTAAACAAGTGTCAGAAGTATGAGTAGATCTCAGAGCACCATGACCTACAGTCACCCGGATGAGTTCATCTATGGCACATGGTATGACTTCTCTCTAGACCATCTTTGTAGTGGCTGGGAGACGTCTTACAACACATAAACGACAACTATATAGTGTAATATCACGTTTGCAATGTGTTCCAGTAGATTCCTCAAAGACTATGTGAATATTTCGCAGCTGAATTCTGATTGGTTTTTCAAGGCACTGCGGTTGTGGCTACGACAGTTAAACTTTGCCCCTCTCGCTTTTGGATTAGAGTGTCAACAGAGTAATTTAGCCACATTCTGTGCATCTATTTATCTAATAGAAACTCTAATCTCCTTAACCTAACCCCAACATGAAAGTATCCCTAAACTCTCCCTAATCTAACTCTAACCAACCCTAATGTTGCCCTCATTAGGTTAACGTAATCCTAACCTATCCGTAGCCTAGACCTTAATTTAATCTTTTCCAAACCTAACCTGAAACTTGCCAGATATCCCATTAAATAACGCGACACTTCACTAAACATATTTTATTCATGATTACAGTATTATTTACCGGATTTCACTAACTTTCTGACTGAGTGTTTCACGATCATTGATGTGTTCGCACTCCGCTGGTACTTACTGTTGCTTAACTTTTAACTTTAGCCCTCTGCTGTAACAGTTCCATGGGACTAGTACCAGTAACGTTGAAGCACTCAGTGAGGTTACAATACTAAAATGTTGAGCCTGTGTCGATGTTGGGAGTGAATTTGACTACATTGATGAAAAAGATTAGTAAAAAAAGTCGGGACATAATGTACTAGATATATTTCCTTAACTCTGTGCACGTATAAGTATCCTGTGATATGAGTTTCATCTAAAGAAACATCTATCATAGGCCGAACAGCGTCGGTTTGAAGCAATTACTCTACACCTTTTAAGGTGTAGAAAAGCACTGGTAATAATGGCGTTAAGGGGCATACTTATATGTGAGAACTTCCTTAAGCCTAAACTTCCATTGACAGGTACTAGTCTTATATGATTTATAGTAGTCACAACCCAACTGGTTTGGGGCCAGCCACAGCTGAAACCCGAAAGTTCTGTCGTTTGGATGACGTATGGCGATGCAAGCGGTGATTTTGTAAACCTGCATGATAAAAGTAGAGGAACAATTAAAAGGGTGTATTTAACTCAAATAAATAGAGGTAAATATGATCCTAATACTAACCTTAATTTTAAACCTCATCCTAGTCTACTCCCTAACCCAAATCTGAAAGATAGCAAAAGTTGAAAGTATCTAAATGCAGGTTAACTGGTGAATACACTGAGTTAAGTGTCTCCTGAGACAGGAGCGATCTGATTAGCTGTACACGATCATTTTGTAGGTCATTCACTTGGGTTGTGATACCTAAAGTTTATCTCATAGCGTTTTCCTGATGAGGCGTCATGCAAGATGACTAATGTAACTATTATTAGGAGCTAGTTTGACGCTTCATATAAACGAAACCCTTGCTAAGAATAAGGCAATACAACACTTCATAGTGTTGAGTTTATGCTACGTTTTCAACTTTTTGCTCGAGAAATAAGGCACACTACAGACACTGGCAACTTCAGGCAAACAAACCACACACCCGGAAGTGCACTGAAAGTGACTTTTTGGTCACAGTTTTTTTCTAGGCGGGTTATTCTCCCAATGGTATACCTCATCATATAAAATGCAAAAAACATGTTACTAATAGTTGTTATATGTGTTCAATGAAGAATAGTGTATAATGTATAGAGATATAGCGTCATCCTACATCCTAAAGCTTTATTATGGCGATTTGATTGCCACATTTTTGTACAAAGTCGTATATTTAAAACTCTGTTTTTTCATTTATTGGGAGTATTGATGCAAATACATATTGTTCCTTCTAGTAGTGTACAGTAGTTAGTCATTAATTGATATTAATATTCATAAAGCATGTCAATTGCATGTTTTCTGAAAGATTTATGCGTTCATCATATGGGCAGCATAGATATAAAGCTATTATTCTTGTGTAGTGTCAGAATAATTGATAGTTAATGTCTTCGTTCTGTGAGGAACGCGGTTGCTTCCGCATTACTACGCAGATGTTTTGAATAATGCCGAAAATTCCCCAGTGTCTTACTTCTGCCCCATTTACGCATTATCGTATTGGCGATTCACTCATTATTTCCACCGTTCGGTCTTTTTGGGGGTCTTCCATCAAAAGCACTAGTATTTTAAGTTCATCTAAATATTCTACGCATATTATTGCATACTCGGATGAATACATAGTCTTCTATTATGCTACTACGTGCTATGTTTCAATCATTATGCTTCTACTTAAATATTGGATTTTAAGGTTGTGCTCTTGAGTCATCTAGCTTTTATGATTTTTCTTTTATTGTTTATTTACACTTGCTCAAACTTGACTTTCTACATTATTCAGTATGCATTATAATAAAGGTTTTTGTATTTCCCAATGAATGAAAAACAAAACGATATTGTTTTTATTGACGTTTCGCTATTTAATGCTAATAGCTTTATATTATTCAATATGGTTTATATTTTAGCAGCACTGTACTTTAACACTTTCTGACAGCGGATTTCTGCTCTAGTTTTTTGTGAGATTGCTTCTGTATGCCTGTAAACTGTAAATTATTTTATATATTTGGTTTTCTGGTTATCAAGTCATAAGATTTACGGTTCATAAAAAGTAGTAAATTAATTTGAATAAATCGCCTCCTCATCTATAAAGTGTCCACAGCAGTAATACCTTTTCACCGTCTGAATAATTGACTTTAACACTTTTGCATTATAGTGTAATGACAAGTTTCAATACAATCACTGATACGTAATTTGTTCCATCCAACTATTTTGAACTGCGTCAACTTTATTGTGTAATAAATCTTATTATCCAGACGGACCATGTTGGAGGGTTTAGCGGCAACATCTTCAGACGATGGATATGGAAGTGATAGTGTGGTAAGTTAAAATCCCTAGTTTTTTCCACTTTAGTCCATCTTTTTATTAACATATGTTTTCAAGTTATATGTGTTATACTCAAACTAAGCACCGGTGTTGTAACGGGATGTTAGTGTTTCGTTGTTGTTATACTTGACCAGAATGTCCTTCCAGTCACGACACTATTCAACTGATCACTTGAGAATATTCCCTCATATCGAGGTAGACACAGAAGTCAGATTTAAACTAAGACAACTGCGACAACAAGAACAACTTTATTATTTACAATACAGAGTATGTGCTTTTCACATCAACGGGAATTTAGACCATAAGTAGACAATCAATATCTGAATGATTGCATCAGTCAGTGACATTACGGCTAACAATCATAGTCCGTCCTAACCACAGATTATATATTTATTGTACAATCTGTTGTCGCGCAATCCCTACGGGGTATATTAGAACAAATAAAGTATATTAAATAACTATAATGTATTACTTACCACTGTTTTGGATCTTTGAGCTAGGTGGGATCGGATACACCTGATGAGCTGGGTCTCAAATGAACAGAGCTGCCATCCGGTGTTTACATCACTTTCATCTGGCTAGCGAGCACTAGTTTGGCATTAGTGTTTTCCAACTATTAATTAGTCAAGAGTATATAGTATCACACTATTTTGCTTTAAGGGGCAGTTGATAAGTTACCTTGCTGTCGGTTAGTATTATCATACGAAGCCTGCTGTAGTTTTTTAACTCGATGCCGTCGACTCCTAGTTGTAAACAGGTTTAGCCCAACTTTCGCTTTCGCTAAACAATAATCTTTCTAACCTTTGGAGCATATATGTACTTTCCCAAAAGGTTAAGTCAACGAAATTTCAAATGATAAGTCATGACTTTGAATTCCTCTGCACCTGTGGAAATCGGGTGTAAATCTTATGTGAAATGTGTGACTGACTGTTTAGTGCACATGTGTATATAGTTTCTGAGTCGTGTTATTTTCGTTTATTTTTGTTCTCCTTAATAATCTAGAAAATAATGTAGCCTTCAATCGCTTACATAACCTTAGAAAAGAACCATTGGGTTTGTGCAATTATCTTTGTTCCTTCTACAACGGAGCTCTGCTTCAGGTTTTCTTTCACACATAACTGACTGAATTCAAATTCGGTATATACCTTCGCACAGAAGCACTTACCTTTATGGAAAAGAGCAATAGTTTATAATATCATGGATAGTTTTGAGCACTGCTAACTCTTTTCCAACTTGACATTACTTCAGTTAACAATTGTCTGTTAAGGAAGGTGAGGGCTTTCAATGAATAACACGCCTTAAATAAATTAGTTGTTGGGGCTTCATTACCTTATCGTGTAGCTTAGGACCCAATTTACACAACCACTTCATTATCGATTGATAAAATTAGAGTTGATGCAGATCAGTGTTGTAGCATTTTACGTAGACAAACAGCGTGCTGAAAGTATTCAATTGTATTAATCTTGCATTCGGAATCGTCTGTATTATGGCTGTTTTCTTCAATCCTCTTGCCTTAAATTAGTAGACCCTTTTATGATAACTATTTATTTTTTTAAAGACGGGAATCAAACAAAACTATCCCCAACAGTACATATAATAAAAATATGTCAAGATTAATCAACTCCGTTTGATACATGGGGTTGTCATCATTACTAATTACAATTCTTCGTAACGTCGTACACAGCTGTACGAGTGTTAGCAAAGTGCTTTGATTAACATGATATTCGTTCTTTCAGTTACTCCCACGGCAACATTTAATAGATAGATTCAGTTGACTAATAAAACCAATATTTCACGAAATTAACCGATCTGTCGCTCATATTCTATTTTGGAAGAAACTAAGTTGATTAAGTTAGACTACATGGCAACTGGATAGTCTGTTTGTGGTGCGCTTTTCAAAATACAGAATCTTGAACTATGTGCGTTAGTAATGAGGTCTGTGGTTTCACAAGATAATTATTATTCCTTTTTTCTTTTGCAGAGCTCCACATCTTTTCTTCCAGTAAGTCTTTCTTCGTTAATTGTGTATTCGTATATTATGCCACTGTAGTTTGTATTTGTTTGCTGTTGAATTTAGTAGCTGACCCCCAAATGTGACTTGACACGCCCTATTATGGCAGTAAAGTGATAAGATCTCTTCTCGATATGTCGTTGGATGGTGGCCAATAAAGTTGGCTTTGCTGAAGATGCCGTATTTACCACATTTATATAATGGTGTTTTCCGCGATATCAAATAAGAAAATCCACTCAACGGTAAAATTTTGGGAAGTCCAGTACTCCCAGGATTTCCAATGGTTCTCTAACTAATGTCAGCTCATGATGAAAATCCTGAAGATAGTTTTATTTAGTCAGATCTCAATTACCCGTACTGTACCGTAAGCTACACTTGTTGTGTAGGGGCTAATGATACTAACCAGGTGCTCAGGCTGATGTAGGTGGAGCAGCACTCGACTCCCTTAGAACCATTGGCTGAAAGTTGATTGCTAAGGCTGATGAGCTACATCTGCACAGTGAGGATAGTGTAATAACTATTTTGATTGGTTTCTAAAAGATAGAATAAGAGTTACTTCAATAATTTGAATAAGTATCATCTTTATATACCTTAGCATTAAACCTTAATTATATCTGTACGTTTCTTCGTGACTGGCAACAGTATATATGAATTCTGACAACCAATAAGCATTCTTGCTCCTTACAGCTTTTTACCACTGGATAATGACATCTCATCTCTTATATTTCTTTGTTAATAACAATCTACGTCTCAATGTAGGTGTGTTTTGATCTTCGTAGTATTTTTTATAAGAGCTCTATTTATTATCTTTACGTGATGGTGGCTGTTTCAGAAAAATTGAAATGACAAGGTCCAGTGTTCATAATTAGTGAAGACCCAAGTCATTAAGTCAAAACATCGTAATCTCAAACCAGGGGTGATATACACATACCATTTGAGCTCAGATTCAGAACTGTCAAATAGGATTCAATTTAAAGTGTTGCCAGTTTGTTTAATTGGGCTTATGGGTTTTAAGCTGACTGAAAAAATACTGAAGTTGATCATTGTTCCTGTGAATTCTCATCCATACCTTTACGCCTAGTCGGTCACTGTTGGTTTAATCGTTGAAAACTTCCATGGAAGCCGTTATTGGTTCTCTATCACACGAACTAACAAACTTGCAGTAAAATCTGTCAGTTTGTCAGTGTAGAGTAAATAAAATTATGTAATATAAGGCTTGTGCGCTATAGGGATATTTAGATTTGTACTAATTGTTTGCATGCGATAAGAAGTTCTAACTTTGCCGAGGCTTCTTATTGCGTACAAACATTCATCACTAACATATTCTAAGAGTTAGCATTTATTATTCAGCATTCTATATTGCAAAAGTTCCAGAATATCCTATTTCGTTATATTAAGTCCTCTATTTTCTCGTCAAAGTATGTGAAAACTGTTGTCGTTAAAATCTTTTTTTTCAAAAGATGTAGACTGATAATCTATCAGTTGATGTCATTTTGTATTTCTTTCTCTCTTTTGTTAAATTGATACTTCGCTTACAACTTCTTAAATTATTTGCAGATGACCCAAGAACAAAAAGATTGGCTCATAGCTATTGTTGATTGCGACCAACCGAAAATGACAAGCATGTTAAATAAGCATCCTGAATTAGCTGGATGGAAGGTAATTATCTCTAACTAGTGATTGATTGTTCATGGTATAGAAAGTTACATAATAATAATCCGATCACTTGAATTAGCATATTAGGAAAATAAAATACTGTTGGAAAGCACTCTAAGTTGTTATGCATAACAGAGATTAGTATTGAATATAACATTTTAAATATGGCTGATTTATTAGTGTCTAGTTATCCACAAATTTGTATTCAGTTCATTGAAGATCTTATTTAACGGAGTCAAGCATGATACCAAGTTGATACATCTAAGCGAAAAATTTGGATGTGGTACATACAATTTTAAGAATTACTGTACACTCTCATTTAGTAATTCACAGTGTATTTATGTCAGGCTATTAGTTGATGTGGGTACTCAATAAACCTTGTATTAAAGAGGTTTTCAGTATATGCTCATGATTTAAGCAATTTTATTTTCGTTAAGAGAGTAACGTTCACTTTCTAGTTGTCAGTTTTATCTAGGCAGAAAGGATGAGATGTATATGCCTTGAAATGTGGTAAACTACTTGAAAGCTTAGTAATCCAATATGTGTATGTGGTTTTTTTTATCCCTTCACATTCTTAGCGAAACATAGGGCTTCAAGCTATAGGCTTAAAGTTTCGGTAGCCGTGGTGTTTATTTTTATGTGATGGGGTTGCTAGCCCATGCCCAGCCTTCCCTCTTTACCAGTCTTATTACCGGCTTAGCGAGGTAAAGCAGTGTGTCAGCCGAGGATTGAACCCCGAACTATATGCGTGGTTGGCGAGCATTCTACCGCTGTGCCACCGACGCACATATGTATGCAATAGTAATCCACATTCCCGATTTACACCAAAAGCATGTATTGAGATTCTGCCGTACGATTAATATGATAACAACCCTAATTTGAGTGACTTTCTGTTTAAAGAGTTGTTGGTATCGTTCTATGTTAAACTTAAGAATCATAAACTCCATTCGTTTCTAATTCTCATAAGGTTTATGATAAGTTGATCACTTTTAGTTTACTCATGTTAAAATTCTAAGAAATATTAATTTGTTTATCTTTTACATTATTTTTGCAGACTAACATTAATGGAGTAAGTGAATAAAACTTTTCAAGTAACAGCTTAATTTTAGTGATTGGATACTGTTTGAAAATGTTGCACAAATTTTCGCTCTTACTTTTGACTTTCATAAGAATATGTAGACTGACAATAAATGTAGATGTCTGCAGTACTGCCTAATCTTATTCACTGAGACTCAAATATATTAGTATTTTTATTGAAGCATTGAGTTCAGGTCAACTCTCAATTTGGTTCTACAGAATACATCAGTAAATCATACACTTAATTCAATTAAGCGAATTTTTCACGACAGGTTTATTTTCAAAACGTTCTGCAATCATATGTATACTGTTCTGAAATGCTATAATGGTGAATTGTATGCGTAGAATCGATACACAGTGTTGTTAGCAAGACACATTGAAGCACTTAGAGATATAATGAAGCAGTTTGTAGAGCCAGTGGTATCTTAGGAAATATGACAAATATCAGTAATAGTAGTAATAATGTGCTAATAAAACGGGTTCAGCTAGAGTTTATGTAATATGAATATTAATCAAGAAGCGCAAGTTGTTTGATGAATAATAACAATAATGTGAAATAAAATGAGATTGAAATGAAATTACAAGCATTTAAAGCTAACTCAGTTCAGTTTTTATGCGTTTGGTAGTCCTCCCTTAAAATTCAAACAACAATACTAATATTAGATGGAAATACTCCCATACTACCATCATACAATAGCACTTTTTAATACTGCTGTGGTGTGACTGATTACTGTCTTCTAATGTAGCGAATCTATTTTCACATTGCATCTGTTTGTTTTTTTCTCTTGTTCCAATTAATTATGGACTTACGTTGAATTATGGAAATTGTGAATGATGAATAGTATGTAAGTTTTTTTTGTTTTGTTTATTAGATTGGTATTCCAGTATTCTTTTCAAAAAATGTATCCACCTATCTTAGTAAATTTAATATAACTCAGCAAGCCAATGCAGGTTTTTACATTTACTCACATTTGCACATATTGTGTGAAGTAGGTATTATTTGCCTGTCAAAATCTAGATAGTTAAACTGGGTTTCTAATGTCTACCGACTAGTTTAAAGATGACTGCCCATATCTTTAAGTTAGTGTACAACTGAGACAGTTTCAATGTTCTAAGCATATTCTTTTGTTACATATTTAGTTAATTCTTAGACGGTTTATAAATTTTACTCAGATTAGTAGCAAGTAATGATTATTCATGATTTATTTAATGACTTTCCATCATTACTTACCTAGCTTTTACTCACTTTGGCCGTATATGCCTTACTCCAAATCTCTGTTTAATAAGTTTCTTCGGTGTTATGTTTAACAATGATTCAGAAATGTTTTTAATAACACCGAATTAACATCTTTTGAGCCTCATTGGCGCATGTTTATTGAGGCTTTTGGGAATTCGATGCACATATTCCTGAATTGCTTTCATACTTGCCTGCTTTTCAGTTTAACTGGTTTAGTGGGGAAATATGGTTTTAAATAGTTTACCAGATTAGCTTAAAAAATAATAATAAACAGATGAGGAGAGATTGATTAAACAAAAAAGGATTTAGTACATAAGATTTCTACTAATCGCCTTTACTATTCTCTACACGAAGTTATGTGAACTGAAATCACCAATCATTTAATTTCAGTACCTAATAAATCACATAAATATTATGACAGTGAATTTATGAACTCTCATCTTGTTTTCACTCAGCAAAAGTTTAAATTTGTTTATATTATGCCTATGAAAGGGAATCTCTTAGACTATTATATGTGTGCAAAATGCATTATATGAGGTGTACCATTGAGATATATACCTTTTACACTATAACTACTTATGTGAATAGTTTTGAAAAGGCAGTTATAATTCTATTATCGATAATTACCGTGCAACTCCAACTTTCAACAATAAATCATCGAAAGGAGTTCACTATTGCGTTACATTCTATGCTTGCTTGTATTGTTGCTTTAATCATATTAGTGGTGTTTGTAGTCTCAAGTATCGTACCTTTTCACTTCATTTCATGTAAATAAACCTTATTCAATGTGAAACAAATTGAAATTTTCCGTGTGAATGACACTCACACTTCATTTATAGACTGCACTACATTATGCAGTTAGATTCGGTGACTGTGCTATCATTCGGCTATTACTCGGAAATTATCAAGTTCCTGTCGACGCTCAAACTTACGTAAGTTTGTATTCTTTATTTATTTGAAAAATAATAAATTTCATACATATGTATTGTCTTAATACAATTGTTTAGTGTGTAGAGCTGGATGAAAATACGAAACGTCATCCAGTAAATAATACTGTTTCACTGTGTAATATATCTAATAAACAAACTAATATGGAATTACTTACTACCACAGTGCCCAAGTTTTACACATATATTAATGAGACTTATGGTCTTCCTGGATAAATATACTTGTTTAGAAATTTTATAAAAGTATTTTGTTACACAGATCAAAGGGTATAAAAGATAATGAATAGTGGACATCCTAATGAGGTACCAAAACTTTATGCTGCACTCTGAAACAGACAGCACTTAGTTATTCAGTTACTTAGATTCCCTGACTACTATACATTTGCGGGTTTTGTATCGTAAGTATTTTTTTTTCATGTGTAACATGCACTGCTGCTTATTCTTTCGTTCGTTCGTAGTGTGTCTATTGAGCATACAAGTAATTTATGTCTAGATGACAAAAAAATGAAGAGGATCTTAATTAGTTGCTAATGGAATTGAAAATGGAGCAAATTATTGTTCACAATGTTTTTCGATCAGTATGAGGTTGGTTAATAAGAGGATTCCTCTTGGAATATAAGACAAACAATTGATGATTTCCTATTTAAGAATGTGCGTTATATTTTGTATGCTACTTCTTATGTTAACAGAAAAGTTGGAAAATAATAAAGTAGTAGTAATATAGACGAAAGGTCATTGAAGTTGTCTGGCACATTTTCATACTATTTACAGGATTTCATCATCAGTTGACGTCGTTTAGAAAATCATTGGAAAACCTGGAAGTACTGGACAGTTGTCTTGTCCTATTTTGGGGCAGTACTCACCCAACGGAGCTCGAACCCAGTGCCTTCCGGTTACAAAGCGAACTTGTAGACTATTAAGCCAATGGGACCCGATCCAATGCCCCATGAATTCTAACTTCCGCCAATTTTATACTATTAAATCACGCTGGATTTCATCACATATGGATAATCAATAAATAGTAAACAATCCTCGTTATTTTCAAGGCTGTTTGCGTCCTATTCACTCATGCCTTTTCCTGCAGCTAAATTTTCTTCGTAACTTTTAAATGTTACATTCTAATATTTCCAATGAAAATCTTAGGTCCAAAAATAACATTCAGTAGTAATTCTTATGGGTGTTTAATTCAAAGTCCGGGGCATCTCAATGATGAACATTTAGTTAGTGCAAAATACTAAAAATATAATCGCCCAATACTGGTTGGTGTGCGCGGTACACAACTACTTATCTCAACCAATCAGTAGTATCCGTTTTTTATGGACAGCCTCGTTGTGTGTTGTGTCTCGTAGCCTATTTATCACTTTATATTTTCGATTCCATTCAGCACACTGATTTATCCCTAGGTGACTGATACATTTATCATGAATGTTGATTTTATCAGAATTTTTCAGAGTAAGAACAACATCAGTAAACTATTTTTGACCACTTTTCAAGCCTTAAGTTTATTCACATGCCTTTTAATTAATAATGGTACCTTTCTTATTTTCTTTTTTTTCTATTTTATGCTCCTGCTTACGTTTTCATAGGAAGTAAGTAATCATTAAAGCTAACATATTTCTGCGATATGGCTTCATCATTTGACATATAAGACAGTTTTAGTTATTGTACTTTTTCATTATTAGTGTAATTTTCATTGCCATTTTAATTTCATGTATGTTAATCTCATTCGACAGCTGACTATATCACAGTGCCTGCCATGTGTTAGTCAGGTGATCCACAACGGAAAACTCACCGAGGCGTTCGAAGTGCATACAGGAGTAAGACAGGGCTGCCTGCTTATTATCACCAATAATATTCCTCATTGTGGTGGACTGGATTGATTATGCGTCAGACCGTGCGTTGAGAGTGAGAAGACAGGAATACGCTGGACGGCCGTTAAGAAGACTCTAAGAGATCTGGATTTCGTGTGTGGATGATATATGCATAATGTCACACAAACTCGAAGACTTACAGGTGAAAAGCAACAAACTGACTGAAGAAGCAGACAGGCAGCGAAGACAGGACTCCAAGTGAACATAGAGATGACCGGGGTGATGAAGATAGCCAACCACCACCAGCAACAGCAACAACAAACAGCACCAATCACAATCAACGGGAGAGATTTAACAGAGGCTACTTCCTGCCTTCACTTGTCTAGCTATGCAGCATCCTTCCAACTACAGGCAGTCGGAACGGATGAAAATGTCAAAGCCAGCCAGCCAACCAGTCAGAATCGGAAAGGCAAGATACGCACGCCTTCATCAACCTGAACCCAGTTTGGAAATCTGCACTCAGCCAACATAGAGAACAAGATTCGGATTTTCAACACGAATGTGAAGTCAGTCAGTTCTTCTATACGGATCAGAAACTTGGCGTGTCACAAAAAGGATTTCCAACAGATCGCAAACTTTCATCAACAGCTGCCCACTTCGCTGGCTCCATACTGAAGACCAAATGGCCGGTGGAAAGAGTTAGTAACAAGAAACTCTGGTCGAGAACAAACCAACCAAGAGCCGATCTCTCAACAAATATGTAGGAGAAAGTGGAGATGGATCGGGCATACATTGAGGAGGCCGCCGATTGACATCGCGCGCAATGCAGGTTATCACTGGAGTGGAATCCAAATCCGAAGCGAAAAGTGGGTCGTCCTAGGGTGACATGGAGGAGATCGTGAGAATAGGAGATGAGAGATTGTGTGCAATCGTCGTCTCAGTTGGAGACGGCAGAAAATGGAAGGGGAGGTGTAGGAGCCCTATGTTCCGCACGGAACCCAGGGGAATAATAATAAGTATGTCCAACTTAGCGTAAATTGTACATGGATTAAGGGATTCATAAACCGCATCTTATTGTCATCATTTTTATTATACTTTTTAGGGTACTACTGCATTACATTTAGCTGCCGCCAGTGGTAATGAAGATGTTATAGTTCTGTTAACTTCCATGTATAGTAAGTACTTTTACAATTCATTGGTTTTCAACATTATATCGAGTGATTTAGTGTTATTCTAAGCTTATTTTATTAAATAAACCAATAAAACTGATAGAAATTTAAAATTAATTTAAATCATATATTAGAGCTGTGAATTTGCGGCTTATAATTGTGTTTTAAGCAGTCAATTTTCAGTCATTTTGAAGCAGCTTTTGAATTGCACACTTTTCTTTAATGTGTCGTCAGCATAAATCTGAAAATGTTTGGCACGGTTCTATCCATTGCAAGATATAAGATGTTGTCAAAGGACAGATCAGTACCTACTCCGAATTCAAGAAAAGAGAGGGAAGTAGTTGAGCATTGCACTACACGATGAGATAATGATCGTTCAAAGACTACATTATTTCGGACATATATTATGCCTAGAAAACCATTATCTTTCGTGATGGGAAAATCTCAGCTTACAATTAATATAAATGGTTAACATTGTTTCAACATTGATTAAAGATCAGATATTCAAAAAGAATACATAGGTCATGAAAGAGACCTATTTTCATAACGTGGATGAATGCAGACTACATAAAGCAAAAAGTGACGTAGTGTCTATTGTTTCCATGAATCTCGGTTACTACTTTCTGCATTAACTCACCGTGCTGAAGCAATCAGTTCGTCATGACAACCACTTATGTCATACTCAGAAATATTGTATATGTAACACTTAGTTTACTAAAGTAATTTCCCAGTGGATTACAGTAAAGCTTTTTGAATTCCATACTCTAAATTATAGATGCAAACCCTGAAATACGAGATTTCCATGGTCGGCTACCAAGTGCATATCTTCCCAAAGAGAAGGAAGCCCTAGCAAGTAAGTTCACAACTTGATTATGTAACATTTGTTACTTTTCACACTAAGTTTCATCTATGGCACATTTCTGGGAAGTTCTACTTTGAATTGTCAGTCACACGCATCTTACCACAATGATTGACCCGTGATATTTGTTGTGTGCGCGCATCAAGTGTTCTTATTAACTGATTTATTCGCCACGTAAAATGATCTGTTTATCGCAAACAGACAAGGAGTTTTTATTTTTGATGAGAATAAAATTAAATCCAACTATTAATACCTATATTGAAATATGATTCAGGGAAAAGCATCAAGTGAATCAACTTAGCTAAAGGTTCAACGACCCCATGGTTTGAATACTATGCTGTTTTCTTTACAGAATGTTATTTTTATATAAGGGAAAATTTTGCGCCATTACCATTTATTCTTAGCTTCCGTAAGCTAACTTGTTCTTTTATTCTTAACGGTGCTATCCTACTATAAGGCTGCTTATTTTCGTACTCGGAAAGTATTGCTAGTACTTCTACTTGTGTGTATTTACGGTAAGCCAAAATGAAATGCCTTACTTTGTGGTACGAGAAAAACTATTGTTGTTGATTTAGCATAAATACCGCCTTTACAAAATGCGCTTAAAATGTGAAAAGCCTGAAAAGGCGTAGGCGGTTTAAATATATGGCAGTTATGACATGACTAATTATTCAATGAAGGTCGTTCATTTTCTATAATATATGCAGCTATCGATCTTTATGTGAGTGATCATGATAATAAGACCACGCAAGTGATAGTGTTTATGGTGTATTTTTTACAGATCTTCGCTGATTAGACCATGGATTGTTCTCCGGTTTAATATCTTAAAAGAACAATGTTTTCAGTTTTGGTATTGATTGAATATAATACAGTTATCAAATTACATGATCTAGGAGTGTAATACCTTTAATTCAGTGGTAGACTCAAAGTGACTGGGGCATTTACTTACCACTGAGGCAGCTAAACGAAAAAACCTTTTAACTTGTGATTATTATTATTATTCCCCTGGGTTCCGTGCGGAACATAGGGCTCCTACATCTCCCCTTCTATTTTCTGCCGTCTCCAACTGAGACGACGATTGCACACAATTTCTCATCTCCTATTCTCACGATCTCCTCCATGTCACCCTAGGACGACCCACTTTTCGCTTCGGATTTGGATTCCACTCCAGTGATAACCTGCATTGCGCGCGATGTCAATCGGCGGCCTCCTCAATGTATGCCCGATCCATCTCCACTTTCTCCTACATATTTGTTGAGAGATCGGCTCTTGGTTGGTTTGTTCTCGACCAGAGTTTCTTGTTACTAACTCTTTCCACCGGCCATTTGGTCTTCAGTATGGAGCCAGCGAAGTGGGCAGCTGTTGATGAAAGTTTGCGATCTGTTGGAAATCCTTTTTGTGACACGCCAAGTTTCTGATCCGTATAGAAGAACTGACTGACTTCACATTCGTGTTGAAAATCCGAATCTTGTTCTCTATGTTGGCTGAGTGCAGATTTCCAAACTGGGTTCAGGTTGATGAAGGCGTGCGTATCTTGCCTTTCCGATTCTGACTGGTTGGCTGGCTGGCTTTGACATTTTCATCCGTTCCGACTGCCTGTAGTTGGAAGGATGCTGCATAGCTAGACAAGTGAAGGCAGGAAGTAGCCTCTGTTAAATCTCTCCCGTTGATTGTGATTGGTGCTGTTTGTTGTTGCTGTTGCTGGTGGTGGTTGGCTATCTTCATCACCCCGGTCATCTCTATGTTCACTTGGAGTCCTGTCTTCGCTGCCTGTCTGCTTCTTCAGTCAGTTTGTTGCTTTTCACCTGTAAGTCTTCGAGTTTGTGTGACATTATGCATATATCATCCACACACGAAATCCAGATCTCTTAGAGTCTTCTTAACGGCCGTCCAGCGTATTCCTGTCTTCTCACTCTCAACGCACGGTCTGACGCATAATCAATCCAGTCCACCACAATGAGGAATATTATTGGTGATAATAAGCAGGCAGCCCTGTCTTACTCCTGTATGCACTTCGAACGCCTCGGTGAGTTTTCCGTTGTGGATCACTTGACACGTGGCATTTTTATATAGCTGTTGAATGAGGTTGATAAATACTTGACCACTGCACGCCACCGTAGTATTGAAGTAGTTTCCAAATTTATGCTCTGTCAACGCTGAGGGTCGAAGGCCTTTTCTTAGTCGATGAAGTCGAGGTAGAGAGGTTTGACAGTGATTCTCTGCATTGATCTGTTATGACGTTACGTATGGTTGCAATTTGATCTGAACATGATTTGCCTTTCCGGAATTCAGCCAGCTTGCTGTGGTTGATGGGTGGCGGAGTTCTGGATCCAGTGCATCTTTAAGTCACTCCAGGACGATGTAACTTAGTATTTTATATGACTTGGTAGCTTAGCAAACCAGCCTTACTTCCAATCGGTGGGCACCTTTCCTTCTTTCCAAACCTTTGGCCTTAATGGCGTGCAAACATCTGCTGCAATCTCTAGGTCAGTGCTTCTGAGTGGAGAGGAATTCCATCTGACCCTGCTGACTTTAGTAACTTGATTGTATTTGGGATTTCTGCCTTCGTTGAAGGATTGGTGCCCACTGGCAGGCAGTTTTGTGCGTGTTGTTGGTGTTAGTGGTATTTCTGGGAGAGTTGCAGGTGATGGTCGATTCAAGAGTCCTTTAACGCGATCAGCCTATTGTTTTCTTCCTTTCTCCTCCTAGGTAATCAGGTTCCCTTGATCATCTTTTATTGGTTCCATCATTTGGGTTGATCTCTTCCCCGATACGGATTGACCTAGTTATCTGAAATAGTGTCCTGATGTCTCTTTTGCCTGCAGTCTACCTGTTCTGCTTCAGTTACGAGTGTGTCGTTGAATTGTTGTTTGTCTTTTCGAGCGGTCTTCTTCACTTCTGTATTCAGTGCAGTGTACATTGCACTCATTTTCTCCCCCTGTTGTCCATCTTTGCATTGAGTCATCTCTTACATCATCCCCCTCTCCTCAATTAGTTTCTAGGTAGGTGTTTGTTGAGAGCCATTCCTTGTCTTCTCTCCTTCTTATTACTAGAACAGTTGTACACATTTCCTTGAACATCACTTTCTGAGAGTTAGTCCCAATGTTCTTCCACGCAGGTTTCCTCAGTGATACCACGTAGTGTCTCCGACTTTTCTCTGACCTGATCTGCAGTGAAGGTGTCCTGTTGTAGTTTCGTCCTTCACTTTTCGAATGTTGAAATTGAACTACAGTTTCCTGTCCTCAGTTGTTCTGAAGGATTTCAGCTTCACCTTGAAGGCTCCTTGAAATAGGTGATGGTCTGAGCCCACATCCATTCCCCTTCTCGACTTTGTGTCCAGCAGGCTTGAGCAACACTGAGACGAAGTCTATCTGGCATGTGGTATGTCCATCAGGCGAAACCCATGTTGCTTACTATGTGCATATCCTTGTGTTTGTACACACCACCTCCGATCACCAGATCATTGAAAGCGCAGAAGTCTGCGAATAATTCTCCGTTCTCATTCATTACTCCGAGCGATAGCCTCTCGACGCATGATGAGTTCTCTCCTTGTATTATCTGCTCCCAGTTCGACTGGCATTCATATCGTTCATGAGGATTTTGATGTCACTATTCAGGATGTTGTCCACTACTGTTTGCAGTTGTCTATGAAAATCTTCCTTCTTCTCTTGTTCCGCATTGTTTGTAGCAGTGTGCGTAGCATTGCATGATTATTGTGACCTTTCCTCCCGCCTTTTGAGTTGAATCTTGCTGTCATGATCCTGCATGAGGTGATTGGTTCCCACTGCATAAGAGCTTCGACTGCTGTTGGTGACACTATAATAGCCACTGAGTGCCTCAATGTGCTTGTGGTTGTCATCTGGGTACGCGAAGTAGATTACTGACTCTCCAGTTGACAATTTCGACAGTCCACATCCATTGGTACTTGCTCTCGCAGATTCCCAGCATTTTGTGCTATATCTTCTCATTTCTTTGGCTACTTGGGCAGCCTTCCCAACCAGCCTCGTACCTTGTGCGGACATTCCGCGTCCCCATGATTATTCCTCCTTGCTCTCATCGAGAGAAGACACATCGGCTGGTTGACTGGCTTCCCGATGGTGGGTTTCACCAGCCCGCTGTGTCATTTTGCCTCTCCGATTCCAGCGGAGAATAAGCTTTTTTTATATAATTTGTATTTTTATTATGTTTCTTGTGCGTTGAAGTTTTCGTAGCAGTTTGATTGATTTTGTGATGTAGGGTCGCTAGCCCCACCACCATCCCTCTTCACCCCGGCTAGAAAACTAGCAGGCTATTTAACTAGGCGAGGTTTTTATCTTGTGAAATCACATTATTCCATTGGTTATTTCTTTGGTTCCATTGACAATCATAGGGCTGCCAATCACATGAATAGCGAACGCACCAGTAACCTTAAACATATACCTTTAGTTATATTACAGGTCCTGTCGCTATTACACAGTTCGTCTAAGTATGAATTTTAAATCTCATAGACATTGCTGATATATCTAACTCGAACAATTATTGCTATTTGTAATTATTTGGTTGCTATTGGCTACCAGTGGAACTCAGGATGCGCATTTCATCCAGCTTGGGACCTATCTACTGGATGCACCTGCATCCCCAGTAAGCACTAGTGTTTGAGACTTGGACTCAGCACCCATCGACTTAAATGCTAAAGAGTTATCTAACAGGTTATACGTCTACAGAAGCTACCTGATTTTAAAGAGATGTCAGTTGTTGCATTTCAGGCTAATTATAAATCAGTGGGAAATACAAAATAACTTGACCAAATAAAAACTGATACCAGGTGCACAAACAGGGCCTCTTGTGGTATTTGGAATGATGGGTGCTGGATTCAAGTCGGAGTGGAAAAACCACCAATCACTCGGGATGCAGGTACACCCAGTCGAAGCGCACACTGTCCACTCTGTTGCTAACCACAATCAACCTTATAGCACCATTTTAAGTTCCAGACATCGTCGAAGCCCTCCATACTAGGGGCCAACATGCTAACAGAGACCAACCATTTCGGTTCAGTATTCACCAATCAATGGGAAATGCTAAATAACGTGAACAAATATTAGAAACAAGTCAAACACTGTAGTTTGAAACAAGTGTCATCCCACTGCTAATGACAATTCATTCCTTTTTATGTGTCTTTTTGGCAACGTTTTCTCTGCTTCGCTGGAAAATGGTTAATTACAAACCAGTTGTTGTAAGTTGATCTACAGCTTGAAGCATGTGTGCACGAGTACTGAATTCTCAAAGTTCACCTCACCCCAGGTAGTTTTATTTTGAAATCGTCTCAACACTTCTGTGACTTGCTCTTTCGAAAGCAAATTCTTTGAATGGAAACAGTTTACGTCATTAGGTTTAACATTCTTTTTTCTTGACTGTGTAGATTCTATTAAGTTGGAATAGGTGAAGTTAGTTAGTATAGACTGTTTGTTGCCATTTGTATAAGCTATACTTATCTCAATGATAAAACGCAACATTTTGAATAGATTCTCGATGATTACAGCAGGTCCTAACAAGTGTGTAAGAGTTTACAATCACAAACTTTTCCTATCTGCTATTCGGGAATCCATTTAAGATGAATAACCAACTAAGTATTCTATCTTATCAGTCCTCCGGTTTTATTGAATTACTAATGTATGTTTCAGAAATCTTACGGGAAACACTCAATCAATCTCAATGGCGTAGATGCATTCACTCTTTGTAATCTCCCAGATTCATTAAGCTTTCATGTTTCACTATGTAGTTATTCTTTCTCAAATTAATTTGATCTATTCCACTTGTGCGTCAGTGACACAGCGGTAGAGTGCTCGTCGATCACCTGGGTGGTCCGGGGTTCGATCCCTGGCCGACGCACTCCTTCACCTCGCTAAGCCAGTAGTAAGACTGGTAAAGAGGGAAGGTTAGGGATGAGGCTATCAACCCCATCCTGGAAAAAAACACTGCTACAGAAACTTCTTGCCTCTAGCTTGAAGCCCTATGTTCCACTGGGAACGTAAAGGAAGAAAAAAAGATCGATTCCACAATGCACAAACTTTTCACTGACATTATTCTTTCTTCCTTGCATTTCGATTCATTATAATTCCTTAGGCTTTTGTTTTTCCCTGTCTTTGTAGGCTAAATGGAATGTGACAACTTAGACTGTTGCACTTCTGTGAGAGTTCTACGGTGAAAATCAGCTCATGTCCATTGATAAGTACATATTCACTAACTAGGGAATAATAAATCCATGTTTAGGTCACACTAACTATTGCATTCATTTTTAAAAGAAGTATCGGTCAGAAACTGTGAATAAAGGAATAACTTCAAATGATGGTTTTCCCAGTCTTTTGTTGGTATTCACTTCGTCGCATGGATCTGCATGCCCATTTTTGTTTTCTTGTAATATTCTGTCTTTACTTACATCTTTAGTTGTTTGTTGCATATCTAAACATTATTAAATGTTTTACTCTGTTGTTCCCAGAATACTTTCCGAACCCCTTGCGAACATTGCTGCAGAATCGTAATAATAGTAAGTAAAAGAAATGTTTTTGTTATTCTTTTATTTGAATATGAGTGTAAGATCCAAAGTGTATAGTAATTATTTTCTAAAGTATATTATTGAGTTGATGAACTGAGGAAATTAGGACTTATGAAGGCAGGCTTTACGCTTATCTTAGCGCCGTAAAATTGGTAATCTTGTGGTGAGAGCTGGCTTCTAGCCAAAGTTGGTAGACAGTAATTGACGTCAATGTTTATGTCCCCAGTATTGGTGGTGAGAAAATGAGAACAAAGGCTTTGCGTAGGCGGATACAGTTAGCATATGGATGATCAGACACAGCCACAAAGAGATGCAAGGTTAACTTTCTGTGAGAAACAACCAATCAAAAGACTGCATTTTCTACTAACAATAATCTACAAAAATGTACATTAAAATCCATAAATATGTGTTGATTTTCCTTAATAAACGATCTGTTGCCTGACCCTTGTCTTCTGTTGTTACAATCTTAACAACGTGAGCAGTTGAACCTCGTAATTCTTCTCCACACATTGATATCTTCCGTTTTTGCAATGAAAGATATCATTTACTCAAATACACAGCACACTGTCACACTTTTCCTGTGTCCTTACAGGTAAAATTATTGGGACTTCTAACTAATTAGTGTTTACTACTACGTAGGTGTCAGTTTCAAAATTCCTCTCAAAACTGTGTTGGAAGTTTTATTTACAAGATACAATTTGTTAGTTACATTTTTTAAATAAATGTAATAGAAATGTTTTACTCCATTACTTCAAATTTCATACCTTTAGATCTATATTTGTTGATGAGTCAACCAGAAATAAACAATATTCACACCAATACAGTCTCCTGTGACGAAAACAGTGATGATCACAGTGAATCAGGATCACTACTAAATCTGCCAAATTCAACTCCTTTACCAATTACTCCTCAATTCCCATGGAATCAGACCAATCAAAATCACACAGAAGACCTCCGTCGAGGATTTCCTTTCACGCGAAGTATAGGCTCCCGTCAAGGAGGACGTGATTCTTCCAGGGATAGATATCACAACAGATATCCACCATTTGGCTTAACGAACAAGGTGCCTCTTTCTTCTGGAGACATGAAAGTTTTGAATATGAGTTTTAAGCGTCCCTCAATGAAAATAAGGTGTGACAGTCCTAAAAGAAATCTCGATTCAAACTTCAATTACAGTGATGTAGAACTAATCAATAACATCTACTCACTTATTCGTCATAAACATCAAATACCATCGCTGTACAATCCATTGAATCCTGAAAGCGCTAAAGCAACGGATTATAATGTAAGTTGTAATAATTGTCATCTATATCCATCTCATTTGTATCTAAACTCGATAGAAAACACGAAGATTTACTACTTACAGGTGTATTGATGTAATATTTATTTGTAAGGAATTCGTATTCGACAGAATTATTTGTACTGCGTTATTTACAATAAGTAGGACTAAATAATAATAGACGTTTACACAGTACAGTAATAGAGATAGTTAATGACCGCAATTGCTTTTCTCCAGTATGTATATATATTCGATTATTAAAAGTATTCTGTCATCTCTTTGTGGACGTTTCTTCGATAGTCAGACCAGATATCTGTGAATCGTATTTGCACACCCTAGGTTTGCTGTGATTGGTTGTTGATTTCCTCAAGCTTAGGCTTTATTATTGTTTTATCTCGTGACTCCGATTCGGGACGTAAACGACGTAAATTGGTGTCTACAATTTCGGCTAGCAGACAGCTCTCACCACAACTTTACATTCCCTTCTCAGGTTGTGCACTTACGCAGAGTTTGTAAATGTTCACAGTGATTTTTACCAACAATTTATAGTTCAAATTCTGTCCTTGAATATAATCCGGGAGACTTGGTGCTTTTGGTGTGGCATTTTATTTAGCACAATGGATACCATTTGGTTGCTTAAAAGGGTATAGGTTTAGTAACAGTTAATTTGTGTATTCTTTGCAATTATTTGTGGAAAGTAGTTGATTAGAACTAATTTCGAAAAACATTAACAGTTGGTTACACACACTAGTGGCATCCCGGATATTTTCTTATAGGACAATGACAGTTTAATATAAAGTTTTTTTTAAACACCCGTTTTGAGGAAAATACGACTGCTATTGCTGTTTAGTATGCATATACTTGTATCTACGCGTAAATGCCATCTCTGTTTGCTGTCTTACACAGTTAGTGCAACATTACTCATAAAGCATGATTACCAAGATAATTTTGTGATTTTCATATAACAACAGAAAGGCTATTTTTATTTCTACTATCGTCATGATTATATGTAAACTTGTTTTGCTTTTTTAATTAGCAAAGAAGTGCATGTCGTTTAGCTCCATCTAGCTTGCGTTCAACTGTTGGTCGACACTGGAAACGTAATGCACACAGTGCATATGGAAGTTTGAGAAACACGACATTAAACCTGTCCGGTTCTACAAACACTATTGACAGTGACGACTTTACAGACCCACCGACTCCAACAAATGAATCGAATTCAGAACAGTAACAAGAATGGAAATATTGACAGAGATTATCTTCGATTCCTGCCTTATATAGAGATTACTTATTTTCCTAATATATTTTTCGACTATATAGCGCCAGAACTCCAACACTTTCAACTCTGATAAATGATTTTTATTACTTAAATTAATGTAATATATAATTTTTTTACTGACTAGACTCCTCTTTCTTTATTTTATTGGTTGTTTTCGAATCTGGATCTCGTTTGTTTTTCTTTTGAGCTTTGGACTCATCGTTATCATCTGATTGCTTAAAAAAATCCGTTATGCTTGAACAGCCGCGTTTTTTTGCAGTTGGTCTACAAAAGAGAAATGACAATTAATTTAGTCTTTCATTTTACTGGACTAGCCTTCTTGTCCTAAACACGAAGAACGGCTTTATCGCCATGTGATATTTTCTTTGCACCAAAGTCGTATATGATTCAGTGACCAACCTAATTAAGGACTTGTCTAGACACTGTTTGATTATTACAAACCATCTGCGCCTGCAACATGATTTAACCTTTGTGGATGCCTGAATTGACTCTGTTACAGCATGACTTACATAGTACTTGATTGCATACACAGTAAACACTCTTCATATGATTGTTTCAAGATAAAATTAATGCGAATGCATTTTTTCAGCGATGATAGACACAACCAATTCTGACTAGATTAGAGAAACTCTATTCCATTTTGAAATCCCCAGCTGATAAATGGCCAGTGTGGCGTTTGAAAAATTAACTAATTTCAAACCCCATGAAGTTACAACACCTTACTCCGTACGCTGTCCCTTTTCAGTTTGTTTTCATGTCGTAATGTTTATTTTACTATATCAAATTGAACCGGTGCACCGTTGTAAGTAGCTAGTTTGTACATTGTATCTACTTCTTCATACTCATTAACTTCATAGGCTGAAAAGGTTACGTTGGAGTATTTTTGTTTGACATGGTTATAATATGTTTATACAGTAATTTTGGTCATATGCGTGCAACATATGACGGTCGATGACACTTTTAGTATCTGCCAGTAGTCAGCGGTAAAAATCGGTAGTTTTCTAGCGTCAAATTAAATAAAGTTCATAATATGAATTCATAATAATACTGTTATATATAAGATATCGGAGATAAAATATGAAAAGTACTGACTTGTATTCTTTTTGTTTGATGGGTTCAATGCAATCGGGTCGATTGTATGTTGAATTATTCACTTGAGGTGTGACTGGATATTTAACGACTGATACATTTCCCAGGTTGTTTGCGATGTTAACCAGAAAGTCATATACCTGAAATCATAATTTTCTAACTTAATATATGCAATTTCTGAATACAGGAATACTCTTTTGTCATATTTAAAATTAATAGGTTTCGAAAGTCACCAACAATGCTTAGTTAAAGTGCATAATATGTAAGAATCACCATAATAAACTTGTTCCGAGAAACCATTGCCTTTTGAATCCTACATGAGGTTTCAGATGTGAGTTCTTTGTATGGCAGTACTACTGATGTTTTAGATTCCCTCTTGATGTCATCTTCCTGTGCATGGTCGGTATTCCTATTACCCTTTATCTTTGAATTCTCATTCTTATTATTTCCTAAATGCCAGTGAGCGGTCATTTTTGTGCTGTGCAGCTGAAAGGATCTTTAAAAATAAGGAAAGACAGTGATGTCGATGTCTTTTAATAATCTCGGCTTACCTGTTTTCCAAAACGAATGCGTTGCGGACGAAGTAAAGGGTGAGTGGTAGCGAAAGTTGTTTAGTTTGCAGCTAAAAGCAAAACTTTCATATGTAGTATGTGTAGATGTCTACGGTGTAACATGCCGGTGAACCGACGACAGTTACCGTCCTTTACTTTTCTCCTCAGAAAACCATCTATTTCTGATCAGCAATAACTTCAAACATAGGGTGAGAAATTGTTTTACCTACCGATGTGACATCAAGTCAACGACAGATTGAAATAAGCCACCTGCACTGGTTTCAACAAAGAACTTTGCATTGATGTGCACTAGATCAAGTCGCCACACTCCGTGTAGCACACAGAGCAAGAAAAAACGAATGCAAAATAGAGACAGTAGACAGGGATATGAGACAAAGGAATAGTAATAACGAAGAACAATATAGTTTCATTGGAAATTATAAGTCACAAGGAATGGATGCATCTGCGCCAGCCATTGAGAACGATTTTGAGCCATATCACCAATTGTTTCCAGCCACTGGTTTTTGCCGGCCCGAGGACCTCAACCAGGAAGTCTACACCCACCTATGTGGCTTAAACTAACTGTTGTAGATTTCATTGACTGGTGCCATGTTTTGGTTTGACCGCCGTTAGCTCTTTCCCAGTCTGGCCCTATGTCAGCTAACATTGCCCGTCGAGGAAGGCGATGGCTAGGAATGCATGCGTAACACATGTCCTAACCATGTCAGTTGATGTAATTTCACAGCCTCGTCGATTGATTTCCCCTCCTTACCTAGCACTCCACGCCTAACCTCAATATTGCTCACCCTATTAAACCAACTGCCACTGGAGACAGAACACAGATGCCTATGATCTAAGACAGCTAGCTAGCTTTTTCATATCTTCCACTTCTTCAGTGACCATGTCTCATAAACATAAAGGAGGACGGAGCGGACTGCTGAGCATTACACACGCCCTCTGGTCGATAGCCGGACATCACGCATACATCTACGTCTTTATTTCAATTCAGAGAGGTGTTGGATGTTCGGTAGGTTGAGCGTGGCTGTAGGCCAATTGAATTGCTCCTCAAAGTGTTCTTTCCATCGTTCTAGTCGTCTATCCTGTATGTTGTGCCAGGCACCACCTAGCTATAGGTCATCGATAGAGAGAATTATTACTCCAGTCGTGCATTAGTTTGCCTACGTATCTTTGAGGCTGAACGGGCGTAGACAGGAAACTGACAAAATGAAGTCTTCTGCATACCTTAGAGAAGAATTATGGATGTTTGAGATGCGATTCGCTCTTTCCGAATGTAATATGGTGCTTCAGGACTAGTTTGCATTGACTCATCTATAGTTGGGAACTGAAACGGTTGGGCGTGTTGGGAGGTTGCATCAGCTCCTAAAGGACTCATTTCTAACCACATCTCAACACGGATACGAAAACCTAGTTTGATATTCGTTAATTTGCGTTATCTTTGGTGTAGGCGTGAGATCGTGCCATTCATGGGACGTGTGTACTGTGCAGCAGGTCTAGCTATCCTATTTTAATGACACTGATACACGATCGTTGTGGCTGGGAGATTTGATAAGACTAGAGCTTTTTAAGTTAGGTGACCTCGTTTCGTCTCATGTAAGAGAGTATTGTAACGGCAGAGCATACTGATATTTGGTGGCGGAATTGTTTATTTCGCAATAAGATACACAGTATTGGCAAAATAGAGAAATCTTAAGTCGAAGTTTCCGTTTTCAAGTTATTCTTAATATGCTTCTTGTTTTTCCTCTATACTTTCTGTATCATACCACAAGGATTTTCATTTTTTCGCTACTTATTCTGACGCTATTCCGGATTCTTGCAGAAGACGTCACACACAGTATACTACTTATAAATTCTTCCCAGTAACACATACCGCAGTATAATATTGTCAGTAGTAGTGAGGTTAGGCGAAAAGTGTGGTGAGGAGGGAAGGTTAATCAGTGAGAGCATTAGTAGCTGAAGCAGAATTAAACCAGTAGAGTTACAGGAGGTCTGAACAAAACATGACAACAGTTTCTGATGTCTTTGACTGTCAATTTGAGCCACTAATCTTCGTCTGATCGTTGTTTTTCCGTACATTTCCATCCATAATAGGTTTATTAAATCTATGATTCTGTGATCTTTTCCGAAGTGTTGTAGCTTAAGTTGATTCACTTTTGTGCGAAATTATACATTCATAATTCAGTCATATTACTTGTTGCCCAAATGTGGCTGATTACCCTTACATTTGCCAGTCTGAATTTCTTGTACAAGATTGTCTTTGAGCACAGTTTAGCTAGTTGTCTTTAATGTTGATTTATTTTCTTCTTAGAGCTCATGTTTTCCTTCAATCTACGTTACAAAAACAAAACGCAGAGTAGATTTTATATACATTCTAAAATTGGTGGGACTGATAAACAAATGTTCCTTTAGTTCCTAACAACTTTTAATAATTAATATATATGACTGCATGGAATGTGTAAGCTAACGTCTGCAGTTTATATAGGCTGTCTGGTGGTGAACTGTCGTGTAAAAATCTGATAGTCATACTTTATATGGCTTTGAACAGTGCTCAGTGCATGATATAATCGATTTACATGTACCACAGCTGTAATCATAAGTAAATTGTGAGAATATTCGAAAACCTTGTTAGTTCCTTACAAGTAACATACAATAAATTAGAAATAATTATAATCCAAACAGGAGTAAAATTTGGAAACTCTGCATATAATACCTGTTTAGGATTACATTCAGTCGTGTCCAACCATTCACATATGTCATCGTCATTCTCTAAAATAACCTTAATTGTACAAAATAATTTCCATGATAATGAAACTTACAGGCATTCTTGTGTGCACATCCGCAACAATACCTTTTGAACTTGTAGTTATTATTGTGTATGAATACATCTACTCACAAATAAATGTATTCGATTATTTTGAGGAACTCACTTGCTTCTCATGATTATAAGCAAATAAGCCTGCCATCATAAGTAGCTTTTCTGGGTCTTTATATATTTATAAGGTTAAGAAAGGTGTAAGATGTTTACCTGAAGGGCGGAAATAAAATGGTTGTTTTTCGGCTCTTATCGTTTTCCACTCATAAAATCTGCAAAAAATGTTAGAGGTATTCAATATAAAACGTTCAGATTAAAGAAAAAAAGTGCAGAAGACACTTGAAAAGCAAACTTTAAATATTTCCGCAACAAGTATGATCCACAATGTAGTAGAGCTGAGTTCCCATGGTTGCCAACATCCTAAACAAGTCCTTACGCTATTTGATCCGTTCGGATTCTTGAGTCCATGTACACTATAGGTCTGGAACTAGGATTTTGAAGCTACTCTAGGTGGAGTAGCATGGCCACCGATCCGGTCGTAAGCGCCAGATGTTTTCGTTTCGCCTTTCAGTTTTGTCAGGAACACCCCAGCCGCTTGAAGGCACTGAATAGGACTTATCTGGTGTACCTATGAACGCATGGCCACATGACAGCAGTTTAGGAAGAGGACCGAAGTCTGCCCACTCTTCAGTCATACCAAGTCAACAATGAGGACTTTGTGTACAGTAGTAGGTTGACTGATTTGTACATATTGTCTAATACTCTACACCTGACTTCAAGATCAGTAGCCTCGTGAACTATTTCTATGTAGGCAGCGACGGAATATACCTCTTTCATTCCAGAAATACTTCTTGCTCAATTGGTGAGTCATATTTGACCCAATCAACATCCATTTTTACCAAAGACAAAACTGGCCAAAGGATATTTATAGGATTTCATTTCAAAACTGGCCCATAAGTATGCTGAAATTTATTAGGCATTTATATCGTAAAATAATTTAGGAGAGATAAAACACACCATTTCAATCTTATAAAATGCAGTGCAACTCTGTAATTAACAAATTGTTATTTTGGGGGATGAAAACTGAGAACAGCTGGAGTAATTAGTTATCAGTTCATGCGAATATATCTTTCCCAGTTTCATACATTCACTTCTTACAGTCGTTTTATCAGGGCAACTAAAGACTTCAATGTTTGGATGTCAGTCGAGATATTATGCACTGAAATTCAACTTTGGTTCGGGAATTTATTTAATCTTTAACCACATGAATATACATTAAGAACCTTCGTCACTAATTCTTGGGAAAAGTCAGGTAGTACAGTTGATGTTCTCAAATGCAATCATTTTACAACCTAGGCAATACATTAATGATTTCATACTTTGTTCCATTTATTATTGTTTACTAATAAAGGACTGGGAGACACTCACCCTTGAGCAACAACTACACATCGTTTACATGCTTTCATTGAAAGTTTGTACGTTTGCTTCTCCAGAAGTGATTCGATACGAGCATTGAAGGTACGAAATTTAAAACTTTCATCACCAGGGACAAATGCTGGAATCAAACCCCAGCGCATTACCTGGAGAGAATGACCATTTTCCTGGGCATCAATCAACTGACTTGAAACTAACACAGGTCTAAATTAAATTTAAGAGAGAGAAATTATGCGCCATTTCAAGTGAAAAACAGCATTTGAACTTCAAGGAATCTAAAGAGCTTAACTTTTAAAGCCAAAATGGAAGTGCAGTATTTTATTAATCACCACACAAATACATTTGACAGTATCTTCACTGACTATGAACTCGCGAAATTCATTTGGTGCAAAGATGAACATTTTTGTTTGCATTAAAATCTGATCTTTCACAAAATGGAATTCATTTAATAACTTAGTTACCTATACGACCATTAAACAGCGTGACGATCGCTAGGAACCACCTGCAACATTGAACTTTATATATACATAAAGATAATTTGGACTAATAACGAGGTTTCATAAACTTAAATTGGATAACAATGTTCAGTTCACTTCAATTAAAATGTTACAGGTCAGTGAAAAAATTCGGCACAGCTGTCACAACTAATCTTAAAAAAACTGAAGTATAATTATTAACAATCAGACAAATCTTGTTCTTCATACAGGACATCATTTCTTTTGTGAGACATACCGTCTAGCCGATATCAGCACCATAGCTCGAAAGTAAAAATTAGTCCAGTTGGCATCATACTATTTTATCTGTTCCAGCTAATATCAGAGCGGGAGACCCACGAACGAAGACAACTAAATCAAGGAAAACTAGTGATTTCCAAACAAGTAAACACTTCCACGCAATGTCACAATTAATCTCCGGTAACCGAAGGTTTCCAGTGAGACAACTAACAGCTTTTTAAATGGCTAGGAACAAGTCAAGTACTTGGGGTGTACTCCATCGCTAACTCGTTTCTAACTCCATCCTGTTTGGGTCTACTCTACTCGCTGAGTAAGGCATTTACTTAGATTGCGTAAAACTCTTTTTTCACTTCAAATGACAAAGATATGCAACTACGTCAATTAAACTGTATGGCTTACACTTAACTCTAATGCTGTTACTGAGGTTTCAGCCCCCGTGAACGATTGAAGATGTTGAATTTGTGTGCAGTCCACCTACGTAGTCACTTCTCATTTCATGGATCATGAGGTTGAATGATCTATAACTTACAGGAGTCCAAGAAACTATTATCCTTCACGTAATAAATATGACTATCTCTCGGAACTCTGCATATAGTTACCTCACATAACCAAATTGTGGTATCAACAGCTGTAAGTAAAATCTACAGTACTTACAGCGTACTTTCATCACTTGGAAATGATTCGATGAGGTAAATGGAGCTCTCCTAATTCTTTAATAAATCTTTCGCAGTCAAAGCCTGGATTTTAATTACATGAAAATACGATTTTTGAGAACAAACACACTGTTCGGAGATATTATGTTTGATAAAAGGAAACCACCATGCATATTACCATAAAATTCAGCAGCAAGAAATATTCATTAAGAAGGCTAATGATTTCAGCTAACTAGCAGACGCTAACTTTGGGGGTCCGAACTAGTAAGCGAAATTCGATTTCCTAAGATGAGCATGACTTTCGTAATATATATAACCCATTTAATCACACGATCAAAAGCAGTAGGTTTTTGTAGAGGCTGATAATTCTTGTCTAGCTGTAAATATTCAGAATCGGAGAAATAGTTTTCTCCAGACCCACACCAATTACCATTGTCTGAATAGTTTATAAGCAAACATAGGAAACGTTGAACTACGGTCGTTGGTAAGCACTTAGCACAAATACTGAGAAAACTGTCCTTCCTCTTAATACATTAATCCAGAATTATTGAATGAATACAATGATGCTTGAGTTGATGTATTATGACTTATTCAGGATAAGTAAAAAACATTTAAGGAGAAATCGCCTATTCTGTCTAAATGGTCTGAAAAAAGGTGTTGTTACCATATATTTTAGCAGAAAACATTTGAATTATTTCACTTTTTCATTCCTAACTATTCTTCGATTGCTACAAACGATTACATTGCAACAGATGATGTCCACTATACAGCATACTTAACAATAAATGCAGACCTTAAAGCTTCTTACTGTTATTTGTAAAAGCACAGCGATAATTAACATACTAACATTTCAATTATTTACGCATATTACACTATTGACTGATGTTGCTTGCCTACCAGACGTATAACGGATAGAAATCTTTTGAAAAGAAAAAACACACTTGAGGCGAATCGACAGGATGAGTATAGTTCTCTAGGGATGATGGTACGTTAAGTAATGCACACAAGACATATGTTGGGATACTAGATGAATTTTACTCATTTTGCCACTTCGTCCCCATGATGTCTTTCGAAGAACGTCCTTCTGTTTCATAATATTTCATCACAATCAGCCTGAGGCTGAACAAAAGGCCACATCGAGCAGAAATTATTAACATCAACACAGACTACTTCTGTAGAAGTACTTACAATTTATCAGTAACCTCCCGTTAACACTTAAATTTTCCATGGTGTCCCCTTGATTCGGATTTTTTCCCCATTCATAGAAATAGTCCCATTTAATCGGATTTTGTCCCCTTTTGAAATAAAATACACCCTTTTTGTCCACGTTTTCCCAAAAATGTCCCCTTTTTGTCCACACATTTGTCGGATTGAGTGTATGCGTTAACAGGTCAGTTAACACGTACCAACTCCTATTACTACAGCAGCACACCACCAAATACTAGTAACAGATTTATATAAAGCACCCAAGTGCAACTTTTAATATATATATATATGATGTGTGTACATATATGTATATATATAATTACGTATATATACATATATATCGTGCTCATGAGCATGATTGGAAACTGTAAACAGTATAGACAAATACCAAAAACATAAAGCAATTAATTATAATCGTAATTGAAACATACGTATATGATCCGGGAGATACATTGTAAGACGGGATATACTTTTGACCACCAGGAGAACCACGCCAGGTCGGAACGCCAACTGTTTTTTTGTTACATGGATGGAGTTGACACTTGGAACGTATTTCATCAGGGCTTAAAGCGCTTTTACAGTCAAACGAGGAAAAATGTGAGTTACCAAGCTGTTCTCCCACACATCCAAACTTCAACGTTTTTGTTGCTACGGCAAGGACTTCCAATATCCAATATCCAAATTAGTTAATTCTTTTGCTCTCTTCTTGGTTTTAACGTAAATATTCCTGGTCTTAGATGAACTTCTGCGTAGTTCGTCCCTCCAATTGCCTGTTGTAGCTACGGTTGACTCCCAAAGGAGTGGTGCTGGGATTGATTAAATGTTGTGTTGTGGTGATGATAAACGTTATCGTGATATATTATCGCGCACTGTATAGGTTATCGTGTTCACGCCTATAGAGGCGTTATAAGCGTTTATTTTTGTGAAAATAGATTATATAGGACTGGTTCCCGGCTTCTTTCACCGAAAAAGCAATATTTTCCAGTACTGTGTTCGTATTAATGGATAAAACTGTCATGATATCCCACAGGATGTATTACTTCAAGAACTTATCGTATATAAGAAATTTAGCATAGAAAGACTATTATTTGCGTTTAACAGCCGTAACAGTTTGTTATTTGCTAGTGTTTTGAGGATATTAAGGTTGGAAATTAACTATAGGCAATGGTTGTTTTCATAGCAGTTATTCCATGATAACGAGTCATTTGAAGGAGAACTAGCCCACAGACACAAGTTAAATATACGTTTTGAGGATGCCAAACACTTTTTTATCATCATCCGTGATGATTGAAATATGCCATAACACATCAAAGAGAGCATGCGATGAATGAGATAATCTGCTGAATTTCCTGGTGATTATATCCATTTCGATGAAGTTCCTAGTTAAAATCGCTCAGGTGAAGATGTGATACTATTTTAATTTACATTGTCACATGGAATTTCGGGAGACCGTAACTGCTGAGTACATTACATTGCATCAGATTATGTTGATATCACTGTGCGATTGGGCGAAAAGAATAGTATAGATGGTCCTTCTAAAATGTCAGACTGCCAAAAATTAGTGTCAACTTTCTGTCGAATAGTAGCTAGCACCTGTGTCCTACAACTACTACACATGTTACTTAAGTTATATCAGTCTTAATAGTTATTCGTTTTCAGATCACTAAGATATTCTGAGATCCTTAATGGATTACTTGTGGCCATGAAGTATATGGAAGATGCACTTATGGCTCATATCTTTAAGGTATTTATTATTAAACAAGTTATCTGTAGGGATTTTGTGATTTTGAGGTTACAACGCTTGCGTGTATGTAGTTACTGCATGCTACTGTACTTGAAGGAACAGTTGGTGAAAGTGAAGATAGAATAAAGTTTCCTCTAAAGTCATTATGAATACTGCAAACTGTTGATAAGAAAATGCACCAAAGGGAAAATTTCCGAACAGCTAGAAAATATTACTGCAGTTTCTCAGGATGCTGCTCTCCTCCTGAAATACCTTTTAATATGTGAGGGAATAGCACTTACCCAAATATATGCAGTGTTCATTGTGAAGGGTTCGCAGTTTAACTTTTAGGATAATCCGTTGTAATTGCTTGTACAATAATTGAACAATCTAAACTTTCGAAAAAGTATTAATTTATGATACTTCACAATTGCAATTTATGGCATAACTTATTGCGCCTGTAGAAATGGCATGCATTCCTTGTGAACGCCCGTTTATACGACATATTAAATTATTATTGCTTGCTTGGTGCTATACTTTAGAAGATGAACAATGTGTGTGACAGTGAAAACCACAGAAGAAGGCTGTCATGACCAAAGAATGAGAAAGAAGAATGAGCCTTTTTCTGCAAAGGTAGGCAAATATAAAGCGTTTAACTTTTACATTACTTTTTTCTAACTTCAGTGATTTAAAAAATATACTTTATTCACTTATTTGCAGATGTCCGGAAACGTCAATCAACCTGGTCACAGCAATTCGACATCGCCGAAATAATTACGACAAACAATTGTGTAAAGACATTCGCTTATTATTTTTCATTAAATATATATAACATCCTGCTTACCATACTTTTCTTATTCTATCTCAGTGAAACTAAATTTGTCATTATGACGAGATGGAGGCCTGACCTACCAATGAGAGCTGTGAAAGTAATTGTTGGCATAATTCAACGTAAGCGAAATCGTACTAATATTGCTACAGCTCAACCTATTAAATTACTCGTCTCGTGTAGACTTCATTTTACACTATATGTTAACACCCGTAGTCATATGGATTGACATCACGCTTTAAGTGAAATAATAGTAATACACTACTTGTGATTATGCTTAATTTCATACGAAACCGAGCTCAACTGCAGGGCCTAAGTTCTATTCTTATTTTTCAAACACTGAAGTTGGGTATTTTTGTCATTAGTCCCTACAAATTTGTCTATGACTAGGAGACGTAATCGCGTAATTTTCGGCAGATTTTTAGACTTGACTGCAGTACTTATAATTCACCACTTATATCGATGGATAGTGTTCCTACAGAATCGCACTTACGTATAGTAACGAATTCATATCCTAAGGAGCACCGGTCTAGCATGCCGTACTCCCAACGCGAACACACGAACAGAAAGACAACAATGTTAATAGGAAAAGTTTATTTTCATTGTAATA